TAATAATTACATTTAATTGTGTTATTGGAACTGAAGAAAAATGTAATTAACCTTAAGCTACCTTAGTCAAAGAGTCATATCCACATGCCAAGAAGATTTCCTATGAATTTTGTTCTGTTCAGAGCCTGTATGTAATATTTTGCCAAGTCCTAGGATTATATTCAAAAAAGAACATTGATAACGACAAGATGGCCACTGAGATAATCTTAAAAGAATGTGTTATAATTTTTGCATTTGAATTTATATTACAGAAGAATGAGAAATAAGACAGTTCTGTTTTTATAGGCTTGTGTAAATAGTAATATTATATGTTGTTCTGGAAAGTTAGTGAAACCCAGTGGTAGAATTTCAGACCAGTATATTGCCTCTTAAATTAAGGAAGTTTTAGACCAACAGAGCCACAAAACAAATTGGAATTCTGGTAATAATGTACTACTCATAAAAGTTATATTTCTAGTTTAAAAACTGGCACAGGATAGGAAAATCTATAAATATATAAATATAAATATATATGCGTGAAATAGTGAATACCCACCTAAAGGGGCAAGGTAGGAAAAGAATTCCTCAATCAGCAGTAGGAATAAATAAAAACAATACATGAAAATAATAAAAATAATCTCTAAATTCTTTCCTAACTTTGTAATCCTATGATTCACAAAGGAAGCAGACTGTCCTTGTATTCTATCTTAAAACGTTAACCAGTAAAAGAAACAGAACACTCATGTTATAAAACTATCTAATATTCTGCCAGACTGTGCCTTTGAGGAAATTATAGCATGCCACCAGTACAACAGCCATGAAAGGCATGTTGGGATAGTAATGACATTTTTCCATACTATTATTTTAATTCTTCTCATTTTTTTCTTTAGATGTGTTTATGATAAGGTGTATTTAAAAATCTTTATTCCATTTTCACGCTTATTAAAGCTCATGTGCTACAGGTCAATGACCATATCTACTTAATTTTCTCTATATTAAGCTATGTAAAAACTAAATAAACGTTTTATGTGTGTGTGTGTGTGTGTGTGTGTGTGTATATATATATATATATATATTTGTAATTTTACAGAAGAAATGGATCCTATCTTTCTCTAGACTCTGACATTGAAGATATTAGTTTAATAGCAAAAGTGAAAGTATCCATACAGTATCTCAGAAAAAAAGGGACCCAAAAAAGCTCATGAAAGTTTTATTCTGAAATAATTTTTGGAACTACAGAAGTGTGGATTAAAGTAAATAAGCATTTGAGAAGTGCCAGCTCCATCTTTCACATATACAGTTTTATTTTTGTCAGTGGTACATTGTACTTAGGTAGAGATAACTGAGAAATTTTACTTTCATGGGTCCATATTAGAATTCTTGTTCATCATATATGTAGGCATACATAATGGTGTTCCTCAGACCCAGAAAATAATAATAGTTATCAATCTTTACTCACTCTTACAGTACTCTCAATATTTCAAACTGAAAGTTATTAGAGTTAATGTAGAGAAGTTTCTCTTTTCTCCCCTGTGAAAGAATAGCATTTGTAAATACACTTGACAGATCACTGGCAGTGCACCAACTATAAAACTGTCTTTATAGAAGTTATGTTTGCTTTACCCACCAATAATTTATTATTCTTGTCAATAAACTTCCATTAAATATTTTCTCAAAGTTTAAATTTTCAAAGCAGAATAAAGACAGTTTTATTGGCCCATTTGTTTATATTATTAAAATTGGCATCTTGACTTGCATGAATCAAATAATCATTTATAGAGTAGAAGCATAAATAGGACATTACATAATATATAGGAAAGACTTTAAAAATAAATTAGTTAATTTAAACCTCATCTAAACTGTAAATTTGGACACTCATCATTAAAAATCAGAAAAAGGGGTTATCAAGTATTTTTAGCATAAGGTTAAAAGCACATCCTCTGAATGTGAGATGAAATAGCTCTGCTTCTTGAAAATTATGTAACTCTGGGCAAGTTCATTTCTTTGAGCCTTAGTTGCTTGAAATGTCAATATTAAAGCCAATACTAAGCTCTTAAGTCACTATGTGCATTAAATGAGATAATATACATATGCTGCTAAACTTAAAACATGACAAAAAATAAGTTCTCAATACATGGCAACTATCATTATTATTAGTAGCAATTCAAAATTGCAGTATACTCATAACAAGCAAGTAAATTTATCCAGCTAGTTATAAATATAAAATAATTGAAATATTTCTAATTTAGGCTAGTTCTCCTAAGACAGTCAATTTTTGCTTGGGTTATCTAAACACAGCATCCATATTTCACTTTATAGTCATAGCTAATGGCATAATTTTAACACGCTGTTTCAAATACACTTACTCAGCTCCACTCCTGAATTCACAGGACAGAGGTCAGTTACAAGGTCATGGTAAGAAACTACCCATGGATTTTAGTTGGACTACCACAATTTGCCTTCATCTCTACAAAAAAAGTAAAGTAAGGATTTTTCCCCCTTTCCTTCCTACAGAGAAAATATTATAGTACCTTAAGGAGCCAAAAGCAAAAAAAAAAAAAAAAAAAATGATCTTTTGTCTTTTCTTATTAGCAACCTTAATTTCAGGGTTAAAGAAAGATTGGTTGGGCAAAAAAAAGACACTCTAAGTAAGATGATTTTAGAAGATATTGAATAAAAAGTATATTTTACACAAAATATTTAATGACATGATACATAAATCATCACACTAAAACCCAAATTGTAAATTGAGTCAGGGGAAGTTACAAAGGTTAGAGCTTAGACAAGTAATAAATGAGGAGAGTATCCTCATTACCTTAAGGGGAGGTGTTGTATCAGGACAGAGGTTTTCTGCAGAACTGATTTATTAGTGCTTTCAAGCAAAAATGTACTAAGAATCTTGTTCATAAAATTCTCCAGCTGTTAATTCATGCTGTTCCTATTTGCATGGATGCTGTGTGTGTATATATGACTTCCAGCCACAGATTTTTCCATCAAAAAGTAATATGCACTCTCTCTCCTAAGTAGCAGAGAATCACAGTGATATGGTTTAGCTGTGTCCTCACCTAAATCTCATCTTGAACTATAGTTTCCATAATCCCCACATATGGTGGGAGGGACCCAGTGGGAGGTAATTGAATCATGGGAGCAGTTTCCACATACTATTCTCATGATAGTTCTCACGAGATCTGATAGTTTTATAAGGGGCTTCCCCCTTTGTTCAGCTCTTATTCTACTTCCTGACACCTTGTGAAGAAGGATGTGTTTGCTTCCCTTTCCACCATGACTGTAAGTGTCCTGAGGCCTCCCCACCCCTGTGGAACTGTCAGTCAATTAAACATCTTTCCCTTATAATTTACCCAGTCTCAAACAGTTCTTCATAGCAGCATGAGAACAGACTAATACATATAGCAATTTTGCACATAAAAGTTCTCAGTTCTAACTCTGTTCAAGAGGGTTATTCAATATCTGTATTTCAAATTCTGTAAAGACTGTGGTATGCAGCTACATTTCACATCAAAATGAAGAAGCCACCATCCCTCCTTGTCACCCAAGCTCAAAATGTTAAAATTATTTTTTATTCTCTTGCAACTCCAATTCCATTTAGCTACTTGTCCAGTCTTGTCAATCTTACCTCAAATGCATCTCTCATATTGATCTTTTCTTTTCCAGTCTGCAAAGAGTGCAAATCACATGACCTTTTGCCTGTTATTGTCATGATCTCCTAACTGGTTTTTCTAACATCCAGCTCCCCGTTACCTAACACATTCTTCACAAACAAGGGTTAGTCTGCCTAAAATACCTTACTGATCACACCACTTATCTGTTCCAAAGTTTTTACAGGTTCCCTGTGAGGGAAAATAGCTTATTATAGATTCAATACATATTTTAACCTCAGAGAAATTAGAAATCTATAAGCCTCACATCATTTAATTTATACAATAATTCTATGTCAGGAAAATACAAATGTTAACATGTATTATTACTTAATGTTGTAAACTGGATGTATATGGAAGTGATTTGCTGTGACATCACTGAACTAAAGCTAATTAGTTCACCGTCCATCAAAGGACTTTGGATATTCTTTTGAGCACATGTAAGGCAGGGTCATAAAAAAAAGTGTTTAAAAGTAAAATGAATTTATCTGAATAGATTAATATCAAATCAAAATGCAGAACTCCGATTTGCCAACACAGCTCTTATGACCCCTCTCAAATCTAAACCAACTCCTAAATGCTCTCCTCTCATTCTTTTCAAATAATATCATAATACCTTTGGACTTTCCTTTCCCAGATATAAATTTTAAGGGAAACAGAATTTTAGACTAATCCTATATATAGAAGGGAAAGCAGGGTAAGTCCATATATGTTAATTTTGAGATTTTGGTTTCTGGTTTGACTTCTGGTTTTGCTTGAATATATTTTTTCTGTCTTGCTTGTCAATGAAATTTCTACTGCTATTAGATAGGTTATTTAAAAGGTATTATGCAGAATTAGAAGAAATAGGAGAGAATGAAAGGCATAAAAAAACAAGAGACTACTCTATCTGCATGTGTGGACTAATGCCTAGGAAAGGAAATTACTCAAGAAATTTGGATAAACTAGAAACGTAACAAAAGTAGATGTGACAATCTAGTTTAGTGGAATATGTTTCCTGAGAACTTGGCAATATATTCCACTAAACTAAACTGTCACGTCTACAAGATTGTTCTGTTCCTGAGAACAGAACCTTTGGACTGTTCTTCTGGAACTATCAACAAAGATACCTTCTCTTCTTTCTGGAATTACACATTTTAAAGCCAATGTAAGCTTGAGCTGAATGCAGCTATTTTCCCCAGTGGCATAGACCTAGCCCTCTTATATTGGAGAAGGTGAGGGCATGCAGAGAAAATGAGGCCAGGGATGGAGGGAAAACCCCCAAAGCATTTGCATTTTTAGTGAACTATGTGAACCAGTTGATCCCATTGACTTTTCAGTGCAATGAACTAAAACATTCTTTTACTTTTAAACTTAAGCTGTTTTATATTATTTTTCTGGATCCTGTAGTTGAAATAATTCTAATTAACACTGAAATAAAGACACACGTGGGTGTTTATTACAATGGGTGTTTGTATGGATTGAATAAATCAAAGAGAAATGATTAATTATTTTGAATGTATTTTTCTATGCTGGACTATGTTCTATTAATAATGGCACTGCTCTGAGAATAGACCTTGTAGATTAATGTTTTGGTAAAATTACTAATTAGATGTAGTCCAATTGTTAAAGCATAAAACTTTTATTTAGCAAGAGTTAGGGTTGATTTCTGGCTCTCATTTATTTGTCCCATGGTGTCATGAAACTCATTGAACTCTCTAAGGGACAAATCCGTAAAAAGTCAGATAACTCCAGGAGGACGCACTAGACAATGGCCAATATTTTATTGAAAAGATAGTCAATTATTATTTTTGTGCTTATTTCAAAGTATTTTTTCTAACAAATGTCAAAGAAATTTTACCTTATCAGTCCATGAGGAGTTACTAATATGGGAGCACTAACCATCTTTGAACTTTGTACCTCCTATTTTATTAACCTGAATTTCTCCCTACTTCTGAAACTAAGAAAAGCAATGTTGGTTCTGTTCCCCACAGTGGCCTCTGAAAATTCAGTTTCCCCATGTCCGTATTTGCTTTTCTGAGATCTCTAGTTTGGTTGATACGTGTAGCACTGATAATTCTTTATTCCTGGAAATTTTCACTTTACCATTTCTACAACCATAACCAAAAAGTACTCGTTGTTCAGTGTAACAATCTTCTGTGACTGATCCTGACCTACCTTTCCAATCTTATGTTATCACTGCTCTCCCTACCTTACATAAACTTGTGTGATCTCTGTTCACAGCACAAATCCTGGACCGTCCCAATTGTCAGTTTTCACGACATTCCTTCAGAATATCCATTTATTCACATCTGTACACATAAGAGATTGGTCACTGAAATTTGAGTCCCTAGTTTAAAATCCTGAATCTATTATTCATTTTTAGTAATTTAAACTCTCTGTATCTCAGTTTACTCATTTGTATCTGAGAACAATAATAATCCTTCTTCATAGGGTGCTTAGAAATGAGATAAATAATAATTAAATTCCTAGCACTTAATTAACACTTGTTAATTATTAGCCATCATCATTGCTGTTATTATTCTCCAAGGCCTAGTACAATGTCCCACTTAACAAAAAATTTTCCTTTTTTAACAGGAAGAATAAAAACTTTTGTCTAAGAATCCTCATAGCTCTTAAGAACGTCTCATTTGAAAAGATGGGTAAGAGGTATAAATTCCAAGATCTTTTGACAAATTAGCTCTCCACTCCTGTCACCCCTTTCTAAAGTAGAATATACAACTGTATATTCTGTATACAACTACAATAAATATATTTGTCTTTCCCTTGCCTTTCTACTAGTTGAAACCATGGTGACCATAATCTCGGCTGCCCTTTGGGCTCACATTTCTGCTGCTCAAGTTCGTCAGCCCCAAATGTCTTATTTTTTGTTTTCATGTATCGCTTTTGTGGTCTGATGATTATTAATTTCATCTTTATGGCACAAAGAAAATTAAAAGAGATGACTACAATCCAGTATATTTAGTTCTCAACCAGATGCCTACCATTGCTACAAGTTGTTGAGGGAGACATGCAAAGGAGTTATTCTGTAAAAGTACTCCAAACATCAGGTGAACCAGAGTGAATCACAGAAAGCTTTGGTTGAGATAGTGACAGAAATTTTCTATTGCCAGGAAATACCAGTCTTTTGTATCTCTTGTATACAAGTTAAGAGGTTTTTTTATTTTTTTATTTTTATATAAACTCCTCATTTAAAAACCCCATCCTGGGCCCTTAGCTGATCATGGTCCTCTACATACCATACTTTAAATGACAAAGAAAAAGAGAAGATGAGTCCCGAGAACGAGGACTAGCCAAGCTTAAGGGAGTCACAGCTAGGCATTTCCAGGTGGGGTTAACCATCCCAAGCAGAACCTGGGTAGTTGTTTCCATAGCAACCACCTGCGAGCAGCAAGAGCAATCTGAAACCTGTGAATTCCCAAAACACTACATCTAAAGGTTCATGCTGCGAAGACTTCATGACTCCTATTCTCTTAAAATGAATCACCCTTTCACTAGATAAAAATTTATTAAAATCAGAGTTACCATACTAATAGGAGATAAAATAGTGAACAAAATAGACATGATGATAAATGTCCTCACAGGGCATGTATTTTCAGGGAGGAGTTAGACAAGGAAACTAGAATTTACTTTCAGAAGCGTGAATAGGGCTTTGACAAAGGTACATACAATGTGGTACAAATTGAGGAGAGGAGAAGGGGGTCAAATAGCAGAGGCAACCAACCACCCCAAGAAGTTTTAAGAAAAGCATTCTGGAGGAAATGCCATCTAAGTTGAAATCTATATAGTACATAAAAATTAACCCAGTTAGCCTTGAAGGAAGAGTAAATTATAACATAGAACAGGGACAATATGATCAAAGATGCTCATATCACTAAACATTCTACTTGTCACAAAATGGCCCTTTAGATTGTCCCCACATTTCATAGTTTTAGTAATCTCTGAAGCATTTATAATGAGAAATAGAATAGGGATTGACACTTTTATCTGAAGTATAATAGAACTTTGGCGTTAAATTAGCTGATAAATTTTACAAGTCATATAGTTTTTTAGGCCAAAGACTAAACCCACTCACCACCATTTCAATAAAAAATAAATGAAGAACAAATGTTTACCCATAGGGTAATGGATTCATATGTGTTTGAACAGGACTATTTTAAGAAGCTATTGGTATTCTCTCACTTGATGAGAGCCGTGGCTCTACTATATATTAACTTGTTCAGCCCAATGAGTCAGAAAGGCTGAGAAATATTAGACAGTCAGGGATAGTGATGACCTTCATTTTTCTGACCTGATACGTCCACTAAAGTAAGCTTCTCAGCTTGTTTTTAACATATAACCCGCCCCCTGCCAAAACACACATGCATACACACACTTCTCATAGAAGAAATGACAAATCACTTGTGTCATGGTGAGTTGAGAAAAATAGCTGACTATGTTCAGCCCAGTCAATTTTTCACTCCTCAAGGAGAGTGTATTATAGTCTTCTTGCAAACATGTGGCAATTTCCCTGCCCCTATGAACCATGACTGAGGTAGCCTAGCTGTCTCCATGATGCAGCCCAGGAGGTAGGGGGAAAAGAAAAGGGATATGTGCTTTTCTTGGGAGCTCAGAGAAGTTATGAACCACTGACCTGGAAACCACTCCACATTTATTCTGTGGAAGTCTTGTAAACCTTACAAATGCCAGCAAAAGATGAGTTACAGAAGGAAATTTCTGAATAGCTTAAATTTTGAAAATTTAAACAGGAAAACCTTGAAAAATTTTCTGGAGCATCAGGTGCTTTCTATATTTATATCTGGTTTCTAGTCATCCTTAGCAGAATAAATTTCCATGCATTTATACAACAAATATCTATTATAAATATTTATTATTTTTCCTTTTGGGTTCCTACTATCATCAGCCAGAGAGTGTCTTAGGTATTGAAGATAAAGCAATAAACATAAAAATCTTCATACATGTTTGTGTAGGTATAGGTAAGTGTGTACACAGTGTTACTGATGAGTGCTAAGGAGACAAAAATAATATACAGAAGGGGGATATAAAGTGCTGGAGGCAGGATATGTTACCGGGAATGTAGATCTACAGTTTTTGTCTTCTTGGTGAAAATAATTTAAGCAAGAGACACAGAGCAATAAAAATATCAGTGTAAGGCAGTTCGTTGCAAAAGCAAAAGTACACTCTGAAAGCCAAGTCAGAATAGGCCATTTGAAGATAAGACAATAGTGACTGACACTGGGGAAATTCCCTTTATGGGGGTTTTACATGATTATTCACAAAGGGGAAGAAGAGGTGTTACTAATAAGCATGTTCTGGGTGGTCATCTGGGTACACATGTGCTGTAGCTGTACATGCCAGTACATACATTGTATGTCCCATTATCTTAAATCTCCAGCCAGGGGTATGTTTTTTACTATTACCATGAGCAAAAGGTCACTCTTAGAACAAGCAAAAGTTCAGGTATTTCTTCATAGCAATGCAAGAACAGATAAATACAAAAAAAATTGGTATCAGGAGTGAGGTGCCATACTTGAAAATGTGAAAGCAGCTTTGGAACTGAGTAATGACAGATGTTGGCAGAGTATGGAGGGCTAAAAAGAAAACAGGAAGATGAGGAAAAGTTTGGAACTTCCTAGAGACTTGAATTGTTGTGACCAAAATGCTCTTAGTAATATGGACAATGAAGGCCAGGCTGAGGCGGTATCAGATGGAAATGAGGAACTTATTGGGACCTGGAACAAAGTTCACTTTCGTTATGCATTAGCAAAGAGGTTGGCTGCATTGTGCCTCTGTCCTAGGGATCTGTGAAACTTTCAACTTGAGAATGATGACTTAGGGTATCTGGTGGAAAATTTTTCTAAGCAGCAAAATGTTCAAGATATGACAAGGCTACTTCTAATCACCTATGTTCATCTGTGTGAAAAAAGAAATGACCTAAAACTTAAATTTATATTTAAAAGGGAAGGAGGGCAAAAATATTTGGAAAATTTGCAGCCCAGCCCATTGGTAGAAAAGAATGGTGGTAGAAAAGAAAAGCCCATTTTCAAGGTGGTGGGGGGGAGATGCAAGTAGGCTGCAGAAATCTGCATAACTAAAAGGAAGGCAGGTGCTGACAGCTAAGACAATGGGAGAAGGCCACCAAGGCATTTCTGAAATGTTTGCAGCAGCCTCTCCCATCACAGGTCCAGAGGGCTAGGAGGGAAGAATGATTCTGTGAACCAGGCCCAGGGCCCGACAACCCTGCACAGCATCAAGACACTGCACCCTGCATCCTAACCACTCCAGCTCCATCTGTGTTTCAAAGAGGTCTATGTATAGTATAGACCACTCCTTTAGAGGGGGCAAGTCATAAGCTTTGGTGGCTTCCATGTGCTGTTAAGCCTGTAGGTGCACAGAAAGCAAGAGTTGAGGTCTGGGAGTCTCCACTTACATTTCAGAGGATGCAAGGAAATGCCTAGATGTCCAGGCAGAAGCCTGCTGCAGGAGCAGAGCCCTCATGGAGAACCTCCACTAGGACAGTGCACAAGGGAAATGTAACACTCCCGTAGCGTCCCTACTGGAGCATTTCCTAGTGGAGCTATGAGATGAGGGCCACTATCCTTTAAACCACAGAATGGTAGGTCTACTGACAGCTTACACCATGCACCTCAGCTTCCCAAGGCTTTGGAAGCCCACCTCTTGTTCCAGCATCCCTTGATGTGGGACATGAAGTCAAATAAGATTATTTTGGAGCTTTAAGTTTCAATGACTGCCCTGCTGGGTTTTAGACTTGTGTGGAAGCTATAGCCTCTTTCCTTTGGCCAATTTCTCCCTTTCAGAATGGGAGTATTTATCCATTGCTTGTACTCCCAACATTTTTTTTTTTTTTTTTTTTTTTTACTTTACGACCTCATAGGCGGAAGATACCTGCCTTGCCTCAGATGAGACTTTGACTTTTGAGTTAATTATGAAATTCATTAAAACAGGGGAACTGTTGGGAAGATACGATTGAGTTTTACAATATGAGAAGGACATGAGATTTAGGAGAGGCCAGTAGCAGAATGACATAGTTTGGATCAGTGTCCCTGCCCAAATCTCATGTTCAGTTGTAATTGCCAATGTTGGGGATTAAGGCCTGGTGGGAGGTAATAGAATGATGGCAGGGTGGGGGTTAGGGGCAGGGATCCTTCATGAATAGTTTAGCAGCATCCCGTTGGTGCTAAGCCAGAGTTCTCATGAAATCTGATTGTTTAAAAGAATGTGGTACCTTCCCCATCTCTTCTTCCAGCTTCAGCCATGTAAGACGTGCCTGCTTCCCCTTCATCTTCTGCCACAAGGCCTCCCCAGAAGTCACTATGCTTCCAGAACAGCCTGCAGAACTGTGAGCCAATTAAACCTCTTTTCTTGAACTCTTGACCTCAGGTGATCCACCCACCTCGGCCTCCCAAAGCGCTAGGATTACAGGCATGAGCCACTGTGCCCAGCCAGTTTTCTTTATAAATTACACGGTCTTGGGTATTTCTTTATAGCAATGCAAGAATGGACTAATACAATGCCTGACTGGCTGGCTGACTTATTTACCTGGCTCTGGGTAGAAGTAGTGAGTCATGTCTAGTTTCTACTTCAAATGAGCAGGTACAAGGAGAATCTTCGATCTGGGAGTAGAAGGAGGAGAAAGCAAGGCTTGTCTCACAAGAAAGGAAGATAAATATATGTCGAAAATTCACCAATTTCTAATCTGGTAAAGTGCTATTCCTGTACATATAATTACCAACAAATTTTTTCATTGGATATCTCTAAATTATGCTGAATTGCCCTTTCTGTGTCCTAGTATTTCTTTTTACATGAAATTCTAGAAAGTGCTCATCTATATCCTGTTTTCCACAGACATATGCTTCTGTTTATTTACTGCTAATGTATTTGTTAGCTGCTAAGTAGAAAAAATCATAATGATGGCTTCCAGCTTTGCTTTATGTACAGCTTCAATTATCAATTACAGCTGGCTGAAAGCACCTCTTACACTCCCCCATCCATTTTCTTCCAATCAAAACTTGGTAGATTTTAGCTCTCTTACTATCACATTTACTAAAATGATTACTTCATTTTTATGTCTGCCTTTGCATTCACAGCAATTTCTGAATCTCTTTTGTAAATTTGCCAAAATGTTAATTGCATTTGAAAGGACAAGCAAACTAAAATGTATAAAGGAGTATAACAAAAATAGACATTTGAGGAAACAGAAAAGTAAAATGAAACAAAAAGAGGAGAATGTAAGTCTCATTTTATTTAAAAAAAATCCAGTTATTATATGATATGGGCAAAGAACTTCAGTTATTTGCAGAAGAATTTTAAAAATTATACCACATTCTTAAAATTAACACTTTTAAAGTAATCATCTATCTTGTTGGTTTAAATCCTGATAATTTTGTGTTAATACCAAAACAACTAACAAGATAAGTTACTCAGTTTTGGAGAGTCTAAAAAATCAAATTTCCTAAAAAATTTTATTTAATTCCTAAATTTTAAAAAATTTTATTATATAAATATTCCCTGGGATTTTGTATTTCATATATTCTTCATAATAAATTTTATAATATTCCCTTTGATGTGAACAGAAACTATTTATTGAGGAATAAATGCAAGTACATGGAAAAATGAATGCTAGAAAAACCATCAACAACCATCTTTCTCTTTTTAAAACAACAGAAAGTTGTTCAGAGTAGATACAGGTCCTCCATGATTCATAATAGAATAATTTATAACAAAACATCTAATATAAAACAGCAGAGAAATTTAAAAATATCAAATCTTCAAGCTGAAAAGATATATTTACATAAGAGTAAGCATTATTTAGGCCTGGTTTGAAGCTTAAAATTTGAATGAGAGCTAATATAACTTGGCTATAAAGATGCATTCCAACTTTTCTATCATGTGAGCTAAGAAAATCTAATTCTAGATAACCTTCCAAGAGCTCAAAGTAAAAGCTAAGTAACATCTGTAATTATTTTAAGTCATCCTATACTAGTTCTTATGATTTTAGCAAAATCTGACTACACTTAAAATCATTCAATGGCTCATAATCATTTCTTATTTTATAGTTGAAGAGATGAATCCCTAAGGATCTTAATATTTGTAATAATTTGAATTTTAAGTTATTGCTGTGATTGGAAGCTCAAACTAGTCAACGAATCTTTTAGGATCCCAATGTATCAATTAAGATTTTGCATTTGAAAATGACATAAGAATCAACCCAAAGTGGATGAACAAAACAGTTCAGAGAAGGCTTCATAGAGTTTTATCTGAGACTCAAACTAGCTATGGTACATAACCACAAAGACGGCCCCAAATACTTCTAGCCTCCCACTATTTATGCCCACCCACAATTAATCAGAGAATATTTGCATAATCAAAAGAATACTACAGAAATTCTCATGTGGGAGTTTCCAGGTAGCTCATAAAAGGCAGAATACCTCCCATAGTGGCCTGTGGATTACACTTTGAGAGAAGCCTGCCACCATATTGTGAGGATACTAAGGCAGTCTTCTGTATATTTTCTGGAGAGAACCATCTAGAGAAACACTTATACCTCTTGACAATAGCCAGCTTCAACTTGCCATCCATGTTCATGATTCTGCCTGGAGGCTCAGCCAATTTTCCAAATGATCGTAACTTTAGCCAACTTATGACATGACTACAACAGGAATCTCATGAGGCCCATAGCCAAAACATCCCAGCAAGCTTCTCATTAATTCTTACCCACAGAAACCATGACAAATAATCAATTACATTGTCATTCAGTTTTCAGATAATAGGTAACCATAGATAAATAGCAAACTCTGCTACCAAGTACAAGCCTTTGTACATTTCTCGAGGCTGTGTCTTCATGTTAGCTGAAATCTAAGGCCACAAGAAATATCAGGATATCTTCTAGCAACTTGAGAGTAATGGGACATAAAATTAGAGAGGTTGTGAGGGGCCACATCATAAAGAGCATTGTAAGGATGAGACTGATAGAGATGGTGAGAAGTGGTCAAAGTCACACATATACTACTTGTGATATCTTTAGAAAGTTACTAAACTCTCTAAATAACAGTTTTCCTAAGCGTAAACTTGAAACAGTAATATCTTCCTCACAGTGTATTATAGTAGCCCCCTCTTATCCATGGGGGATAGGTTTCTTGATCTCCGGTGACTGCCTGAAAGTTCAGATAGTACTTAACACTATTTACACTATGTTTTTTCCTTATTAAATCAAAAATGTTCACCTTTTCACTTAAAGGAAGCACTTTATATCTACTCTTTGGCATATCCATGCTGCCAGCTTCACTCCTCGTGCTTTATGACCATTAAGTTAAATAAGGGTTCCTTGAACACAAACTCTATAGTAAGTCCCGCCACAGTCAATCTGATAACTGAGATGGCTATTGAGGGACTCACAGGCAGGTAACATCGACAACATAGATACACTGGACAATGGGATGATTTACATCCTGGGTAGGATGGAGTGGGACAGTACTAGATGTCATTATGCTAATCTCAGAACAGCACACAAGTTAAAACACGTTATTTCTATAATTTTTCATTTAATATCTTTGGACTGTGGATGACCGTGGGCAGCTGAAACTGCAGAAAGTGAAACTGAAAATAAAGAGGATCTACTACATAGTGTTATATAGAAGAAGAATAGAAACACCCCTACTCTTACTCACACATCAGTCTCTAATACAATGTATGAGTGGAAAAATACATTCGGAGGACAAGGGAAACAGAACGATAAAACTGTAGATGACAGGATGAGGAGGAATGGATAAATATTTAGCTAATCTTGTTTGTATGTGTGAATACTTTCATTAAAGTTAGAAAAATAATAAAAGATTGTGGGTAGGAGAAAATGAGATATCTCCATTTTATAGAACTTTTACATGAAAATAACATAAATTAAAATTAGCTTACTTAACCTATAGACCCATACAAATAAAATTGTGTCAATACATTTTCATGACAGCTGCTCTATCACTGGTAATTGAAGTCTCCAGTCTTTGCTAGTATAATTCACAATATTACAAAATGCAAAAGTTAGTGTTGGTCTAGGAAATCAAATAAAATTCTTGAAACAGAGGATCAGACGTAAAGCCATGAGGATCTCCTGGTTTAAACAAGTATTGGTGCTCTCAACAGGACAAAATCTTGGTCTTAAGTAGATGCCAAAGACCTCCAGCCTTAGGTAAAAAAGTGATAATAGAAGTAAGATGGAGCTAGAGCCTGGCACTGAGCTCTCAATGTTTTCCGATGTATTTATTTGGCAATAGTCTTGGGTTATGAAAAATTAGCACAATTAGAAAAGTTTAAAAAATAGAAGCATTAGGTTACTTTTCAAAATATTCTTGATGAAAACTAATCCACTTACTACATCCTGACCCATCTGCTATGGTTTAACTGAGTTGGTGTGTAGTGAGCGAGGTTAGCAAGATGCTGCTGTCTGGCCTTCAGGAATTTGTAGCCCTCCCTACTTCTCCAAATATAAAAACCGAAATTCAGATAGAAATATATGCCAAATAACACAAAACATCATCTAAAATATTTATTCAACAAAACAAGGACAACACATGGAAAAATATGCAAAGTCTCTTTAAAGTAATTTTCAAAACCTGGGTAAAGATGATGAAATTAAAATAATATAATCCTAGATTTACAGATGAAATCAGCATGGCCAAATGTGGATAGTTATTTACTTTTATGCCATTACTGTTTAGTTTCACGTGTTACTTTTTATCTAATATATGTATATTGGACCCATCTTCATCTTCTATAGAAGATGTAATAAAAGCACTGTGTTATATCCACACTATAAGTTCGTTTAAAGGTGCATTTCACAGCCAGAATAGTATAACACCTGCAGACTTCTGAAATAAGAAATGATTGTCATGAGGAACCTAACATCATGTTGATTCTGTTATAAACAAACTGTCCAATACAGTGGCCACTTGTTACGTGTGGTTCTCAAGCACTTGAAATGTGCTAGTCCAAACTCAGATGTGTTATAAGGGGAAAATGCACACAAGATTTCAAAGACTTAGTATAAATTATAAGTGTCATATTTCTCAGAAATTATTTTATATTGATTATATGCCTTGAAATATTTTGTACATGGCATAAACTATAACATTAGAATAATTTTCACTCATTTTGTTTTATTCTTTTAATATGACTATCAGAATATTTTAAATTAAGTATGTGAATCACTTTTGCTACTATTCTGCTTGCATCAGATAATATCATCCTAGAGGTTTTTCCCAGAACTTTCGCAAGTATGACAGATTTTCAGTAGTTTGAAAGTTCAAAAGACAAAAATAGATTTTAATCTAACTACTAAAGAATGACTTTTTCTCTCTGGCTTTCTGAGCTGGGATTAACTTGAGGATGTAAAAAAAGGAAATCTATTTAGATTTGTTTCTTTAATTTCTTCAGCCTATGACAGTTGGCATCAAAAAGAGGGATGGCATCAATAGAAGTGAGCTAGCCAGTTAATTTACTCTTCCAGGCAGGTTAGAGGTTGATCACTACTTGTTTATGCCACCAGTTTATCTGTGGAAGATGCCCATTTCTGACCAGTAATATCTCTCCACCAGTGTGTATCCCATTTATACCTGCTTAGTATATGCATAAAGGCAATTCCCAACCCATACAAGCCTCTGAGTGCCTCTGCAGCCCCTTCCTGTCTCCCATTAGCCATGTATGCTACAACCCATTTGGGCAGCACACTTCTCCATGCCCAGCCCTCATTAAGTGTTAGAATTCTGTTTGTCAGCACTGAGGACCCTCCTGAACCCAAATGACTCAGAGCTTGCCACCATTTCTGCACCTTTCAGGCACGTATATTCATCTTACAAGAGTCAGGTACCCTAGAGCAGCAAACTACCTTCAGCACCAGATTCTAAGCAGATGTCTACAAATGGTAATGTGTTTTCTAATTCCAAAGTCCTAGAATTCCAATTATATTTCCAAAGTCTTCATTGTTTATCTCAAAAAAGCAAACTCCAGAAATGAGTGTTTTCTGTTTTATATTTACTCACTTTTATGATAATTCATTTGCATGAATCTGAGATCTTTTTTTTTTCTTTTTTTTTAAGCATGCTTTGTGACCTAAATGTTGAGCATATGGCATATAATTTCATAAAGGAAATTGCTTGGCTTTTCAAATTCTCATTTCACCATTTCCCTTGAGTTGTCATATCAGCAGTTCCTGACAGTAAAAGAAATATATCACTGTGTTTTAACTAAGCAAAGGCGATGCTGCCACTCTTGGTTCATGAAACCTTTAAAAAGCAAGGCACAAAGATTTATAGAAAGCACTGACTTCTTCAATGGTGAAGAAGTCAGCTCTATGTCTTTCATGTTTGACTATAAAGTGCTGCGGCACTTTATCAAAATATCTTATGAGACTAAACTGAGAAATATCCTAAATTTTTCCTTTATAAAAAGAGATATAAAAGGCAAACCAAATAAAAAGGTTTCACAAGTTCAATTTTTCCAGCTCCTTTTAATAAAGAATAAGTCACTGATAGAAAAATGAGCAAGATTGCAACAAATACCCTGTCAGTTCACAATATATTGCATCAATGAAAATATCCCACACTTGTACAGAAAGCAAAAAGAACTTGGTGAAACCTCAGTGGATTTACTTTAAGAACACCAGATGGCAACTGGGGATTTTTAAGTTATTTTAAGAAATGGAAAAATAAAGGTATTTGCTACTAAAAAAATAATTTTTAATATATTTTACAAACACATGAAAATAAAATTTTTAAATGACATTTAATGGCATCAGACTATTTTAAGATGATAAAAGAGACAACTAATACAATTAATATTATAAAATACTGAGTTAATATATTTTGTATTATATTTTTCAAAAGGGCTAAAATGATAGATAACTAAAGCATTGTTTTCATGTGTTCTAGAATACTTTTAAATAAGCTTATATAAGGAAATAGTTACTATCATACTACTTAAAGCCAATATTTATAAAATCTATCCATGCTACACTTTTTACATGCAATATCTGGGTTATTCCTCAGAGCCTAAAATGTTGTTTCCACGGTGTTCAGAAGGAGCCCTACACAAAAAGTTTAAGTGACTGTCCAAGTCCACTCAACTAACACGTGACAGAACTAGGATTTAAACTTAGGAAGTAATGCTCCATAGCTCAGGGTCTTTAGCACCAAGATGTACTGATGAATATTCCATGCCTGGATAACTTAAAACTAACTTTAAAAATAAAGTGTCAGGAAAATAATCTCTAGAGTAGGAATTTTAAAGAAAGCCACATTCTTAGAAACTATCTGCTATAAACCAAAACTTTCACATTAATTAATACACTTGCCCATGGAATGTAATGATTTAAGCCAAAGGTGATTTTTTTATTAAAGTTTTGTTCAAAATTTAGTGGAGACTCTCTCATCCTTAAAAGAGCTTAATTAAACTCAATAAAGTACTAGCTAAAATATCCAGACATCTCTTAGAAGATAAATTTCTTTAGTTTTTTTTTTAAATGGAATTTTGATGCACATAATTGGGCTAATACTAATCATGTGTTTCTTTTTAGTCCCGATTGATGTGGCAGGCAGAATTCTGAAATGTCTCCTAAGATTTCCTGCCCCTCTGGTATAAGTGCCCTGCATAATTACTGGATCTGTGAATTTGATGGCTTTTACTACCGTCATTAGGTTATGTGGATGTGGCACAGATGACCTTGAGATAGGAAGATTATCCAGGTAAGCCTAAACTAATTTTATGACCTCTTTAAAAATTGAGCTTTTTTGCAGCTGACTGCAGAAGAGAAAGTAAAAGAGTCAAAGACTGAAAAGGCTTAGTGAGGTCTACTATGCTAACAGTGGGAGCCTAAGAGTCTGTTTTATCTTGGCAAAGCCTTTCCTCATTTCTGAGGTTCACTCCATTGACTCATTTTTTGGCCCTCTTGTTGCTTCATAAAGGGATTTTGCTATCCCAAACCACTTATAGCTTGCACTCATTCTAGGGATGTCTGCCAGGCTCTTAGGGGTTAAGATATTCCTCAAATATTGGACCCACTGGAGGGCAATTTGAGCCTTGTTTTTGAGCACTTTGTATCCCTGGTTGGCCAGAAAATTCATGGTCTTTGTAGTATTTTGATCAGGTATCTCCTGGGTTGGGCTACACACAAGAAGATCATCTACATGCTGGAGTATACTCTTGTTTTATAACTGAAGATCCTTCGGATCCCTTTTGAAGGCCTAGGGGGTAAAAAAAAAAAAAAGGAAGGGAAGCTGTCCCAAAAGCCTTGAGGGAGT